TTCATGTGCTTTTTGGACATCTATATATCCTCTTTGGAAAATGTCTACTTAGATTTTCTGCCCACTTTTTTGATTGGGTTGTTTGTTGTTTTTTTGACATAAGGCTACATGAGCTGTTTGTATATTTTGGAGATTAATCCCTTGTCTGTTGCTTCATTTGCAAATATTGTCTCCCATTCTGTCTTTTCACTTTGTTGATGGTTTCCTTTGTTGTGCAGAAGCTTTTAAGTTTAACTAGGACCCACTTGATTATTTCTGTTTTTATTTTCATTATTCTAGGAGGTGGATCAAAAAAGATATTCCTTCCATCTTCTTCTTTGGTGTGTCCTCTCCGTTGGACTCTGTGCGACTTGTGATTCCTCCCGACATTCTCTCTCCTTGATATCTGACCTCAGGATTCAATTCTGAGAACCATTAGGCATTAGTGACTATTTGACTGAAAAATCAACACCCATTATCTCTTCTTAAAAAGAAAAAGAGACCCCTCTAGAACAAAAAGCTTGCAAAAACCACACTGACTCTATAAAAAAAGGAAAGGAGGATAAATAATGTGAGCCAAATTCCGACTAAACCACTGATAGGCTTTGGCCTCTGAACAGTGGTTCTCCACCTCTCCGCTCACCAAGTCCCCAGTCTCTGCTGCCTTATTTTCTAGCCTGACTCTATGCCACTCCACTACTGCTGTCCTGCACACTTGGGCTGTTTTCTCACAGTTCCTCTTTCACACGCACACTGCCAATGCCAGCTCCTCAACAGCATGTGAAGCAAAGCAGTGGCTAGATGATGGGTAGGGGGGTACTGTCTATAGTGGAGAAATGGCGATTTCATGAGGCACCAAGGAGACGCTTAAGAGCAGTACAAAGCTCTGGGCTCTGGGGTGTGGCTCAGTGATAAAGAATCTGCCTGCCAGTGCAAGAGATGGGGGCTCTATCCCTAGGTCAGGAAGATCCCCTGAAGAAGGAAATGGCAACCCACTCCTGGTAGGCCACAGTCTGTGGGGTTGCAAAGAGTTGGACACGACTTAGCAAGTAAACAACAACAAGCTGCTCTGATAGCCTAATTGTCACGACCAATTTCAAACGTGTTGGCAAGTGATTCTGAAACCTGCTAGAAAAAGTAGCTAGTCTTAAGAGATTGAAGAGTTTACTAATGATCTACTCTCTTTGCCAAGGAGTGTGCCCAGCCTGATATTGTGCGCCCCACATCATATCTGTGCCTAATGAACAAGATAAAGACACTAGAATGCCACTAACATCTAAACGGTGGCACTAATTGATTTTAATCTTAGTTCAACAGTGTGACTGGAAGGATGTTTCAATTACTATCACCATATGGGACACTAAGTGTCTGATGAGTAAGGATGGCCCTGTTCTTCATTCTTTCAAGCAACCACTCATTATTCTGTAAGTTGTTGTCTCAGTTGATGAAATTGTGCCCCAATGGACCCAAATGGTATGCACAGATCCTTGAAGATGGTTGTTAGCTTACAGTCAGGGAGCAGCAGAAGCTTTTGGAACAAACTGGGTCCTACGTAAGTGGTCCCTCCTAGCGCCAGCAGTATAGCAGCTGCAGACCCCCACTCTCACCCCACCTCACATATTAGTTGCGAATTTGATAAATGCCATTCTGAAGAGCAATTGATTTATTAATTAGCTGATGCAGAATGTTCTTAGGGCTCATTTGGGATATGGAGCCATTATAATTTTAAAATGTCAGTGCCATGCAATAGAAGATGAAAATGGCTCCTCCCAGGGGCCCTTTGGGCACAGCTTTTCCTTGGATGAGTGGGGTTTTCATCCTTGCCATGATGCTGCCCACTGTAGGTAGGCATCATCAGGCCTTTGAGTGAGGTCTCCAGAAATGGGGGAAATTCCCACCATGAACAGTTGAGATCAGGACTAGGACAGGACCAGACCAAGCAGGATAGTTCTGTCTCTTAAACTGGGGATAGTAGCCATTTCATTAGAAGATACAAATAAATCAAGGTACTTCAGAAGTAACTTCTAGAAAAACCCAAGCTGTATATAATTGTGTGCATGCATGCTAAGTCACTTCAGGCATGTCCAACTCTTTGCAACCCCATGGACTGTAGCCTGCCAACTTCCTCTGTCCATGGGATTCTCCAGACAAGAATACTGGAATGGGTTGCCATGCCCTCCTTTTTCCTGACCTAGGGATCGAACCCGCCTCTCTTATATCTCCTGCATTGGCAGNGGTTAAGAATCTGGCTTGCAATGCAGGGGACATGGGTTCAATCCCTGCTTGGGGAATGAAGATCCCACATGCCACAGGACAACTAAACCCAGGCACCTCAACGACTGAGCCCTCACCACAATGTAAGAATCTATGCTGCACAACAAAGATCCCACATGCTGCAACTAAAATCCAAGGAATCCAAATAGATAAACACAAAAAATAAAACAAAAAGTGAAACACTATAAGGATAAAAGTAACATTTTCAGTTCAGTTCAGTTGCTCAGTCATGTCCACTTCTTTACCACCCCATGGACCGCAGCACACCAGGCTTCCCTATCCATAATCAACTCCCGTAGATTGCTCAAACTCATGTGCATCGAGTCGGTGATGCCATTCAACCATCTCATCCACTGTCATCCCCTTCTCCTCCTGCCTTCAGCCTTTCCTAGCATCAGGTTCTTTTCCAATGAGTTGGCTCTTCACATCAGATGGCCAAAGGATTGGAGCTTCAACTTCAGCATCAGTCCTTCCAATGAATATCAGGGCTGATTTTCTTTAGGACTGACTGGTTTGATCTCCTTGCTGTCCAAGGGACTCTCAAGACTAGGCGAGTGATTTTGAGCAGGTTGATTCATCTCCTTCAGCCTCAGTTTCCTCAGGGGTGTGTGTGTGTGTGTGTCTGCATGTGTGTGTCTGCATGTGTGTCCCTGTGTGAGTGTGTCTCAAAGTCCCACTGCCTAGGATGGTGGAAGTGACTCCACTAGAAAATATATCTGAAAATAACTGACACATAGTGGGTGCTCAGTAAACGCCAGTTCGCTTCCTTTTTTCAGACGCATGACACAGTCACCGACCTCGTCTGTCCTTTAGTTTCCTTGTATATGAAACGAGGGATGATCATGTCAACATATGTTTATCTATATAGTTCTTCTATTGTAAAGCAACTACCTGAGCGTCGGTAAAACAAGCCCTCTCTTCTTTTCAGCTCCCCTTCCTTATTTGACATCTTTCACACCTCTCGGCCTTCTTAAAGTAGAACTTCGCCCGAGTCCGGACCCAGCACGCGGGCAGTGCTACACCTGCTGAGCGTGCGTTCATCCTCGCCAGTGAGGTTGGAATTCCCCCGGCGTCCTGGGGACTCCTTGTCGGCAGGTACTGCCCCCAGCCTGCAGTGACCCCGGGACCTCTTATTGATCTTGTGTGCCTCTGGCTCTGCTGTGATACCAGGAAGAATGGAGGTTGCTGGCCCTGGACTTAGTCCTGGACAAATAAACGTGTTTGTCAGAGCCCTTTTCCTGACATCGGTTGTCTGAAGCCCAGGTGGCTTTGTGGAGGGTAATTAGTTCTCTTTATTGAAGGGAACATCAGGAGCTCGAACTGCTTACCGTGGACACATGCAAAAAGAGTCTGTGAATGCAGCTGTTGCTTGCCCTTTCATCATGCTAATGGGTCCCCGCAAGAAATTTGACTTCCTATTCCTGGCAGCGAGCAACCGCTATCAAACAAAGCATTGTTTCTTCTCACCGTTGATGAGTGTGACTTGTGGCGGCCGGCGATAGCATGCTCATTTTTATCTGCTAAGNTATTCCTGGCAGCGAGCAACCGCTATCAAACAAAGCATTGTTTCTTCTCACCGTTGATGAGTGTGACTTGTGGCGGCCGGCGATAGCATGCTCATTTTTATCTGCTAAGTGCACAGCACTTGTAAAAAGCCCGCGGTGGCCTTGTTACCACTTGACATGACACTAGGTTTAGCTGTTTACATTGACGCACTGCCGCACCCTTTTAGAGCTGCAGCCGGGGGTCAGCTTCATTAGCGAGCGCCAGCGCCCACAGGGAGGCAGCGCGCAGTGAGGACTCTCTGCTTCTCCGTCGGGAGCAGCAGAGCAGGAGACTGCGTCTTGGAATGGGTGGCTTTTCCTTCTTTGTTCTGACTGTTCGAGAACCCCTGTGTATTCTGAGCATCCACGGAGAAGAGGAGAGAGGAAGAGAGGTCTGGGACTGGCATCCACCCCCCCAGTGATGAAGGAAAGGGACGCTGGGACCTGCCCTGTGTTGCCTTTCTCTTTGCTAACCACGCAGCTTTTTGTTGCCCAGGAGAACTGCAGAGAGGGAGTGAGATGCACGTGTCTTTCTTGCCACAACAAACAAGGCTGAAAAGCGGTGGTAAATGGAGCGGAACCTTATCCTTCATCCTCTGTCTCCTCCTTTTTCCTCTCAGTTTTATGAATATCCCCTGGACAAATTTGGGGACCACATGGCCTTTATAATGCCTGAAGCCACCAATTTTTTTGCATCTGGTCTCCCTGTTCCTTTGGATACAGGAAATGGAGGGTGTTTTCCAGAATCCTTGGTTTATTTTGCAATCCCTGTGAGCAGACAAGTTGCTGATGACCTAGAATAGCTAGAGTGCCCATTGCATCAAGAGCTGAAGAACAGGCCTTCGCTCTCGCCCCACATAACTCTCATCCAGGTCACTCGCAGCAGGATGCGCGTGGCTGACGAGACGCCGCTTCGCAGAGCCGTCAGAGAGTTGTGTGAGACCGTGCTGCCTGCAAAGGGCAGGCAGACCAGAGCAGCTGCCCTCTGTGAGTTCAGGGACCTCTGGTGTTACAGCACGGAGCAAACAGACCTAATGCCCTGTCACAGCTTCTTTGTTTGACAGGCAGCAGAAGCGTCTTTCCACCTCTACCTTTCCGGAAGGATGTAAGGATAATTAATGCATTTCCTGGGGTTAAATAATACACCCATTTAAAAAAGCAACCACTGTACCATTCTGCCCTGGCCCTCAGAGGCTGGCTCACCACATTTGTCAAGAATATTCCTTGCCAGGTCTTTTCTTCTAGCTGCTGCTGCTAACACTGCACAGTGGAGTCTTCTGTCTGAATGATTCTTAGATCTTGCCAGTCAGCTCCCCCCGGCCCCTCCCCTTCCTCTCCACCATCTCCTGTCTCTTTGCGGGTCATTTATAATCAGCAGTCATGGTGTACAGGCCTCATTAGCGATATAGCCATTCCTTCAGTGCTTCAGAAATAATCATTTAGAAAAAAATGCACGGTTTCCTTCCCTTGAGAGCCCATGAGTGATGAATTTATTTCAGTTTGGCTGGCTTGGCTGTCTTGCTCAGCCTTATTTCCATATTTATTTCAACAAACAATGTAGGGTGGGAATGAGAAAACACATGCTGGGTGTACACACGCACTGCATCTCTGCTCCCAAACGCTGTTCCTCTTGAGGGAGGTGTAAAAGGCATGTCAACAGAAGTACCCTCCTTTTTAAAAAAAGAATAAGAACCATCGGCTAGGATGGGATACCGTGTAGCAGAAGATGAGCTAGTTCATCCTGGTTTATATTTGAAAAAAGGTGGGTAATGTGTCAAGAGCAATTGATTCTTAGTCTCCATCCTAGTAAAGCCAGTGTCTGGGGAGTGCTGAAGCCCTTGACCCCATGTTCTTATAGGGTCTGATTTCTGTGACAGTGGACAGCGATGAACTTTGGATGCCGACTGAGCGTCAGATGCCTAGGTCCTCGGGAGGAGTGGGGAGGGGTGTGTGTGGGGATTGCAGGTTGCTCCGACGAGGAGCGATGCCAGCAGGTTCTTGATGGCAAATGGTGTCTCAAGCCAGACTTGCAGATGTGCAAGCCACCTGGCTTCCAGAAATCCGCGCCCTGCAAACGTCTTTCCAATGAATTGAGAAAGCGGCTCAGGCTTCCACTTATCCCACCTGAATGTTTTCGGGTGAATGTTTTCACGTGACCTCAGCTGCGGGTCAGGAGCGAAGACCTCAGAAATCTGTTGAGAGCTTCGTCACTGACGCTGTGCCGAGTGCCAGACAGGCCCCCGCACCATCATTAACCTCACCATTACAGCCGAGGAAGAGAAGTGCATACCGTGTCTTGATTCTACAGAGATGCTTTAAAAGTGGCAGTTAGTGGATAATAATAATAATGATGGGTTTTCTATTCTAGGGTGACAAAGCCCGGAATGTGCAAAACCTTGTCTTATCCTAAGCATAACGTAATACCATTTTCCCACAGTGAATTGCCACATTTCACCCATTTTACAAGAGAAAGAATGGAAAAAGCAAATGAGTAAAGAACCAAGAATAAAAAGTTTTGATCCAGGGACCTCAACAGCAATACTTCCAGAGTTTCCTTTTCTTAGAAATGCATTTTACTAAGCTTACAATTCCTTTTTCTAATAATGACATTTTGACTTCCCCAATATAGTTCAGTGGACAAAGCAGGAGTGCTCAGGGGTGAAGAAAAAGATGAAATTAGACAATACCTAAATGATACTCTATCCTCCCCCACATTAGACCTCAGATGATACAAGACAGGAGGAAGTATCTGTAGGGTAGGTAAATATCTGTAAGGTAAGGAAATACTGCTGAAATGCAGTTTTGTTTTGTTTTTTTTTTTTCAGGAATAATTCCCAAAAAGAAAGTTTAAAATCTAGTGCCTGGTTGAAAATTAATAGAAGAGTCACATACATGCTAGTATTACTGTTAAGAGTAGCCTTGGAACCAAAAGAAGATATCCTTTATTAACAGAGGGAGTTGGGGAGAATGGCATGTATAAGGCAGCCTCCATCCAACACCTTGTATGATCCCAGGAATTACAGCCTAGGAAAATGCATTCCAAACTAGTCTCTGCTGATCCAGACATTCCCTTACTGGGAGTATCATCTAGCATGGCAGATCTCTCCACCAGCTTATCTTCCGTCCTTTTCATCTCATGCATACGGTACAGCATGATTTTTATTTATTCAGTCAGAATAGATTTTACAATCCTTACAATGAAATGAAATAATTGTTAGAGTATATATATAATTAGTATAATACATATAGGGGCTTCCCAGGTGGCACTAGTGGTAAAGAACCTGCCTGCCAATGCAGGAGACGTAAAAGACACGGATTCAATCCCTGAGTTGGGAAGATCCCCTGGAGGAGGGCATGGCAACCCACTCCAATATTCTTGCCTGGAGAATCCCATGGACAGAGGAACCTGGTGAGCTACGATACATAGAGTTGCAAAGAGTCAGACATGACTCAAGTGACTTAGCATCAGCAGTAGCATAATATATGTAACTATTTTATAAAATAATATATTATTAAAACAAATGGTGGGAAAAGTACCTTCTCTTACCCTATTTGAGAGACCTGAACTGGCTCTTGTGGGAAAAGAGATGGTATTGAGGTTGGTAACTCTAGCAAATTAAAGGTGGTCTGTAAGCATGCCATATCTTCTTGGAAAAATAGTTGAATCATAATAAAAACAGTATTGTTTTACAAGTGGGAATAATGATGTATTCAGCCCAGAATACAGTCACCAATGTTCTTCGGCATTCCTTAGTCTTTGCAGCTGAGAACGCCCTTTTGCCATGCTATCAAAGGAGTGCTCTGTCACTTTGCTAACCCCCTGGGGAACTGTGGTATTCCATTTCTAATTTATAATCTAACCACCTCTAAACCTGGCAGTAAGACAGCAGAAGTTGATAATTGAATGAAGTTGATCATCCTTGTTGTTTTGCATTGGAAGTAATTCTCATAACAACCTTCCAAGGGTCCTTCCTATCACCAACCTAACTCCTGCTCATGGAATCTTCTGCTCTAGAGGCCTGTGATTTTAATTGTATTGCTTGATTTCTCCCAACTGCCCTTTCTAGATTCTTCTCTTGTACTGATGAGTTGGCAGACAGATGGATTGAGTGACTGAAATGTAGATGTTTGTCTGGTCTCTCTAACACTTTCCTCCTCCTATTTGTATTTATCTGTTTATGTGTCTACTATTTTGGTACATTTTATAATGCAATCTCTGTATAGAAATGACTATGGAAGTACAGAGACAGAAGGATGAGTCTTACACCTTCTTACTGGCATTTCGGGCCTAGGGAGCCCAGTCACATGGGTCACATGAGTCACCATCTTCACTGTCTTCCCTGATAAGTTTCATCTTCACCCTCTGGTGCAGCCCCCAGCCCCCCTTACTCGGGGCTCCCTTACCTTTAAGGATGAGCATAAAAACATGCTCCTGAATATCAGTTCCCTGAATTATAAAGTTATTCTCTTCTATTACATAAATGGAATTTCACTTCTAATTTTGCATTTAGATTTGCTTCTTTTGTATCACAATAAGTTCCATCCCTCTTCGTGGAAATAATATTGGACTCTTCTGTTATTGTATGAAGGAAATGAAGGACCTCTTTGGAAAAGGTATCTTAAAATTTGGGTGAAAGGCATCAAGATGTGGAAGACAAAGCTTCCAACGAGAATTGAGAGGGTTGCATTCAAGTCCAGGAGCTGACATGACTCAGTCACTCATTTTCCCTTAGTACCTACAGGCCCCTGAGTGGAAATGGGGAGAGTTCCTACTGCTAAAATGGGGAGGGCGAATTAGATCACTCCTAGCCTCAGTTCAGCCTTTAAGCTATTTTCCAGTCTGTGAACATTTATTAAATAGTATTATTCCGGGTATCTATATATTACTACCCACTGCTGGATGGACTTGTAAACCCAACCACAGGCTTTCTGGTTCATGGAAACCTATGGGCTCAGAGTCTGCGAAGAATATGGCAAGAACTGAAATGAAATCAGTGTTAGGACACCTCAAATGATAAATCAAAGTTCAACTCACACATCTTAAGCGAACAGTGTTCACCGAACACTTTGAATTTGCAGCATACTATCAGGTGTCCTGGGGCATGAGCTAAAACTCATTCCCTGTCAACACAGGACAGAGCTACACCCATGCCCACAGCCAAGGGTACTGGACACACAGGCCATCTGTGATCTGGGGCAAAAGGGTGACCCCTCTCCCTCGGCGTCTGCTCTTTAGGAAAACATTTACTTTAGTTTAGCTTTGTTAAATGCAAATCAGTATGTGAGAACACGTAGCAGAAGGGAGATACCCTTGTCTTATCACTGGCCCCTATAACTGGGATTTTTGCTAGAGCTGATTGCTTCTTCATCTTCTTCATTGCTTCTTCATCTTCTTCTTCATTGCTTCTTCATACGGGAAACATATTGGTGGAAAGTGAGTAAAAGGCCAGGACTCCTTTAAGATGACATTTCCCTGGAGAACTGAACAATATTCACTTCTTGGAGTTAGCATAAAATCAGGGCGTGTTTCATGGTTCGCACCCACTCTCTACCTAGTCTTAACTCTCCTCCCCTTAGTCCCAGGAAGGGGTGGTCACCCTTTCACGATCTCTGTAGTCAATCCAGAGTTGAGATTACTTTTGAGTCAAAGTTAGTAAAATTCCCAGAGCAGTTCTGTGCAGTGCTTCACGTTCAAGAAATTCTCCTTTATTCCACCTTTGCCGGACATTAGCCCAACCAGTACTGCACAGAGGTGGGGGTGGGCTGGGGGTGGGGGGTGGTAATTTTAGAGCTCTGCTGCTCTCCTGAAAGCTAGCAACATCGACTTCACTTTGGACCTTGTTAGAAATGCGGGAGTTCGGGCCCCACTCAGGACCTACTGAATGAACTCTGCAGTTTACGACATTTTCTGTGACTGGTGTGCACGTCCAAGCTTGAAAAGCACTGTTTTAATTACAGATGGCACGCAGGAAAGCCAAGGCCTTGTAGAGGGGTGGCAGTTGGGGTTTTCAAAGCTGCTACTTCTACTGGTGGCAGCAAGCAGAGGCTATGGGGCAACCCTCCCTCCAGAGAACTCCCAGCTCTTTCCAGCCGGTGATGGTGATCTACAGAAGATAGTAGTGTTCCAAAGGGAAGAAAGATCGATGTTTAACCACATTAGATAACCCTAAATATAGATTCCCCCACAAGTGTGTAAATACTCTGCAGAAAGCTTTTGTGTGGGAATGAACGTAAGTTTCCTATGAAAACCCACAGTGGGTTGAAGTCTAATTCCAAAATGGGTAGTGTGTTGTATTT